CTCCAGATCTAGCAGTTTTTTCTCCCCACTTCAACATGGCATTTCCATATATAGAGAGCATATTACAGAGTACATGCACGTCTATATACGGTATGCATTCATGTAATGAGTAATATTTATACGCAGCTTTAAGATTTGTAAAGTGTCCTACATATAGTAACTCGTTAAATTAATGGCACAGTGGATAGCCGGGCCTGGACTCAAGAAGACCTGAGTTCAAATCTGGCCTCAGGCACTTAATAGCTGTGTCACTTAACCCTGGTTGCCTCAGTTTCCTCACCTGTAAAATGAGCTGGAGAAGGAAATGGCAAACCACTCCAGCATCTCTGCCAAGAAAACCCCAAATGAGGTCATAGAGTCAGACACAACTGAAACGACTGAACAACAATGATAAAACTCATCCGACCCATGAAAAGCAGAGCTGACTTTAGGGTCAGGAAGACCTGAGTTCTAGGCCTATTTCTGACATATACTGACTGAGTTCTTCTGGACAAGTCACTTCATCTTTCACTGCCCTGAGCAACTCTCTAAGACAGTGACTGTTGAGCAAGTGAAAATCTGCATTGGCGGAGGAAGTTTTGTCACTGGGAGTTTCCTGTACCTGGGAACTCATATTGGCAATTCATTCAGTGAAGGAAATCATAGGTCTGCTCCCCTACCCTAGATACACATCCACAGATGCTAAGAGATAATAAATATACACATGTATAGATGTATATATAATGTTTGCTATTCCTTAGCATCTATGGATATATATCTGGATATGTATATGTGTGTACGTGTATCTAGGTATCCATGAATGTGTATATATCCACATGTATGTACACTGTATGGATATATAATGTTTATTACCTATCAGTATCTTTGGGTGTCTATCTCTCCGTATATGTATATATGCATATATATGTCTATCTGGATTATGTGTATATATATATATATATATGCACATACACACAATATATATTTAGTATCTATAAGCATCTACGGATATATCTGTATGTATATGTATGTGTGTGGATATATATGAGTATGTATATATATGCACACACAAAGATATGCATATATGCAAGTACATGTATGCGTATATAATGTTTATCATCTATGGTTATATCTGGGTATATATTTATATCTAGATGTATACGAGTATATATACATGCACATACACATGTGTGTACATATGTACATGCATATGTACAAATATGTCATTTATTATCTTTTAGTATCTATGTATATACATGGGTGTATATGTGCATACATGTGTCTATGTATATCTGGATGTATGTGAGTATATATGCATACACATATGTATATATATACACATGGATATGTATGGATAGTTTCTTATCTATTAGCATCTATGTACATATACACACATGTGTGGGTACGTGTGTGTATATATATGTGGATTATATGAGTACATATATGCATATGCACATATATGTAGATATAGACAGGCCCATTATATATACATACACACATATCATATATACATGTACAAATGATCAAATTAATCAGCTTATCAATGTTTTTAAAGACAGTAATATTCTGCCACTTGCCCCTTCCCCAGATTACACACCCACCCACCCATGCACAACAAAAGTCTTAGGCACGTAACTGAGCCCTGTTAGCAATGCTACCTCCTCCTCTGTCTTCTTCCTCCTTTTCACTCTCTGGAAAGCACAAACCCTAATCACTCCCTTCCATGAAAGAGGATCTCAACGCCTCCCCCCAAGAGCTCTTCCTGTAATTTGACAGCCCCACAACCCCCATGTGCCAAGATCAATGCATCGGGCCTTCAAAGGCTCCCAAACTGGAGAGCAGGCAGCCCACTTAAAAAGATGCTCAGGCAGTGATTCAGAACTCAGGAGTGGGGGTTACTCAGTGTTTGGGATTTGACGGCATCACACAACATGCCCAGGGATCAGAGCTGTGGAACAAATTCAGCTCAAGAGATGAAAATCATCCTTTGGTGCTGACAACATCTGTTTTATTTTGAAGAGTTGCTAAGGAGAGTTTTGGTTGGGCCAACGTTGTTCCAGTTCAGTACCTCCCTATGTGTTGGACGCGTGGTTTGGACGGCAGGAAAAAGGCTCCCAGATAACCTTTGTTTCATGAGCTCTTCAGACATTGAAGGACTGCTCTGCTAATGAGGGTGACCACGAGGCACAATGGATAGATTGCTTGGCCTGGAGTCAAGAAGACTCATCTTCTTTAGTTCAAATCTGGACACATACACGTACTAGCTGTGTGACCCTGGGCAAGTCACTTAACCCTGTTTGCCTCAATTTATTCATCTGTAAAAATGAGCTAGAGGAAGAAATGGTAAACCCCTCTAGTATCTCTGCCAAGAAAACCCCAAATGGGGTCATAAAGAATCAGACATGGCTGAAAACAACTGAACAACAAACATATACTACATAGGCCAAAGACAATTTGAGGAGTGAGAGGCATTCAGGCTGCAACCCTCTCTTACGCAGCTTTTCTTTCATCCACCTCCCTGCAGTTATGTTAAAACACTGAAAGAGCATGCATGACCTAACGCACAGGGCACTGCACTCACAGAAATATTCAGGTTCAAATCCCACCTCAGGCATTACTTATCATACACAGGTCATTCACCAAACCTCTCTAGACCTGTTTCCTCAACTGTAAAATGAGGGTGTCGGACCCTATGACCTCTGAGGGTGCTTTTAGCTCTAGATCTACAATCTTATGAACACTCCTGAGCTTTCAAAATAAAACCATGGATTTCCCACCCCACCAGGGAAGGTGGGCCCATGGAACAATAATGTTCAGAAGTCTAGGAGGTACAGAAATAGGCAAAGGGGTCTGAACCCATATGAAACTGACAACAGTTCATACTTCTGGTTAGAAAACAATCATGCAGCTGAGTCACATAGCTGAGGAAAAGTTAAGTATGTTTAATTAGTAATAATGATAATAACTGGCATTGATATACATATCAAAGGCTACCGTGTGCTTTGCATTCTATCATCTCCTTTTCCTCATGATACCACTGAGGAAAGCAATACTAGGACTTTAATCGAGTTTTACAGACAAGGAAACTGAGGCACTGACAGGTAACATGACTTGCCCGAGTGAATAAATAATAAGGGAAGAAACCAACTTCAGAGAAGAAGCCAAAGGGTCTCCATGGGCATTAGCTTTGACTACTCTTGCTTGTGCCCACACGGGCCATTACCCTGCCCTGGGGTTTATACCAGGCAGAGGAAAGGCAACCCTGGTCCTCAAGGCATTGATGTTATCAGGGTCTCAAAGTAATGGAATGTGAGTTTTCTTGCTTAATGACGACAGCCCACATTTGTATGACACGTTAATGCTTATAAACCCCTTCCTTACAAGAACCCTGAAGAGTGGGTTGTCAAGACACTGTGATCATCATTTTAACAGATAAGAAAACAGAGGCTCAAAATAAGTGAAGCGACTTAGCTACAGCCATGGAGTTAATGTTGCAGTGGGGATTTTGAACCCAGTTCTTTTCTCACACTGGATCCAGTACTCTTTGCACTATGGTAGGCTGGCTCCCTTCAATATGACAGTGCAAAAAGGGCATGTCTAATTTCTCTTTATCAAGATTTTTTTTTAAAAAAGACCAATGTGATATGGCCGAGCAGTAGTCTTGAGTCTGAAGCATGGAAGGTGCTGTCCATATTGTCTCCCCTTCATTGGAACCTTCAGTTCGAGGAGAGGAGAAAGAGGAAAAAAAAAATAGGGCAAGCTGACCTCATTCAATGCCTGCTTCATTCAGCCTGGCTAATTTCACTTGGGAAAACAACAAAAAAAAGAATTTAGGAGGGAGTGTTCAAGAGTTTGGAGTTATTTCAGCCTAAAGACCTAGTTTGGGGGCAGAGCTGTGGGGAAAGAAGGAAACAAAGGGGAGAAGAAGGCAGAATAAGGTTTAATCTTCAGTGTACATGAAAAGTTATGAGGTAGGGGATTATGGGTATGGAATATTGCATATAATGTGGGATTTGGTTTATTTAGGCCAAACTGGCTCCTGTCCTTCCCTCATCCCTTATCTCTTTTTTTCTTAGCTATGAAGGATGACTCTTTGGGTGGGATAAGGATATATTGGCAAATAAAGGGGATGTAAAAGATATCAATAATCATTTTTTTTAACAGTTGCAACATGGGAGCTGACAATTCACATTTCTAATGCACTTTAAAGTTTACAAAACACTTCCCTCAGAATCTCCCTGAATCTAAGTAGTACAAGCATGGTTATCCTCACTTTGAGGATGAAATGGAAATGGAAGACTCACTGAGGCTTACACAGGCTAAGACATGAACCTCAGTCTTTGAATTCTGGCCCCTATGTTCTTCCTTCTCCACCACACAGAGAAGCGAATGCTTCTCGAAGCAATCCTTGGACCATCTGATGGAGCTGCCTCATCTAGTTTTATCTGGAGCCAACCAAGGACGCTAAAATACTCTGACAAAGTACATAGGCTCCTGAACCTGACATCGAGGAATAAAATATCTCTGCATTCTGGGGGGACTTAAAGGAAAATCCAGTCCCTCTTAAGTGAGGAAATCCTCTCCTTTTTTTTTCCTCTCTGCTTTGGGCTTTTGGAAAAGCACCAAGATAAACTCAGAGTCCCTGCTCCAGCTCCTAGGAGTTACGGGATAAGGGAAGAAAGAATGATACTCCATCCTTTCTCTGATGAGGATTCGTTTCAAAGAGCCATTCAGGAACACCCTGATGCTATAAATCTGAGCCACAAAAGGAGATTAAATTCCCTCCAATGAAGTCATTGAAACTGAGGCGATACTATCTAAACACTTCCCTCGCCTTCTAGATTCAGGCTCAGTCAGTCTGGTTTCATCCCTAGCTGAGGATGTACCTGGTCAAAAATTCATTTCTGCTGATGTACGGAAGCCAAAATAAAGCAGATCCCCTTAATATGCCCATGAGAACGATTATGCCTGAGAGGAGAAAAGCCCTTTTCATGAATTCTATTGATAACCAAATCACTTACCCAGCAAGGTGACCTCCACTCCAGCTGGTTCAGACATCTTCTCAGCCACCTTCTGCCAGGTCCTGTTATGCCTAGGTGCCCAGAGAGCCACATGGCAGAAATAGTAGCCAGAGTTTTCTTTGTTAGCATCTCGTACTAGCAGGCGGTATGAGTGTATATCCACACGATTTAAGGTAACTGTCAATGGGCTGTGCACCACGGCATTGTGGTCCATGCTTGCCAAGATGTGTGCATCAGGCAAAGAACTGTCAGGTGTCTTGCTAAAGTACCACGTCACCTCAGCCTGAAAATCATCCTTCTGATCAGTGGTGATGCTGCAGGTGAGGTCCAGGTCATTCCCTTCAGTCACAGATACATTATTCTTGGTGACAGTCGCTCTTAAGGCTTAAAAATTAAAAATAATATTGAGAAATCCTGACAAATCAGATGATCTAAACCTCAGATTAATTTACTTTTAGGTTCTTCTTTTTTATTTGATAAATTTTTGTTTCATTAAATATTTCCTAATTACATGTAAAAACTTTTTTAACATTCATTTTTTAAAAACTTGAGTTCCAATTTTCTCTCCCTCCCTCCTCTCCCCTACCCCTTGAGAAGGCAAGCAATATAATTTTTAGATTCTTCTTAACAAAATTGAGGAGAGGCTTCACAGGTACTCTAAATATCTGTTGGATAAAACGTATCCTTTAGGAGGCTTAGTATAAAAAATTTTTTAAAAACAAAGATTAAATTAAATTCGTCCAACCCAGGGAAAATGTGGACCATAACTTTGGCAATTTTAGAGAACAAAGGACAACCTAGGATCAGCTGGGGCCATACATTAGTCTGAGCAGGGATGCTCTTTTCAGCCCAGAGAAGGGAAGAATTCAGAGCAAAGGGGCCAAAATGGTGAGAAGCCAGTTGACTTTCCTTATAAGTCTTCAACAGTGTGACTTCATAGCAGGGTCAGTTCCAAAACCATCAGACATACCCACATACAAATCAAACACAAGAACAGACTATAAAGTTCTGGATAAATAATTTTTATAACGTAAGTCCTCTCCATTTCATTAGTGTGGCTAATTAAGAGTTGACTATGTTTGGATATAATATTTGAAATATCTTGTGTTATCCAACAGCAGCCTCACAGATGGAGTTTCCACTATTTGCTTCCAAAGCTTTCCACTTACTAATACTTTAGTCTATCTTTTTTTTTTTGAAGAAGTTGAACACCTGTAATCTAAGTACAACAGCACTCAGCTTACTGATGATGGTCTGGAAACAATTACACAGATGAGAAATAACTAACTGTCCCCGAGAGGCTAACGGCTCCGCACATCCCTATGGCTCTCTGGCAAGAGTTGTTCAGCGGTAACAGCTGCACCCAATGAGCAGGACAAAGTGAGGCTGGTGCCCAGCTCGGGGGAAGGAAGGAATCCTAACCCAAAAAACTCAGGCCCTCCCAAGCGAATGACTTTCATCCGAATCTAAACAAAACCTGAAATACATTTCAAACAAGCTTTTCAGGCCAGTTCCAAAGTCTACTTAGGTAAGAGAATGAGAAACAAGCCTTAAGTGTCGGAGAAAGGGAATGTCATAGGGCTATTTCCCATTTCTGGATATAAGTAAACACATGTGTGTGTGTGTGTGTGTGTGTCTTGTGTGTGTGCATGTGTGTACAGTGTGCACATGTGAACATTGTGTCTACATATGCACACATGTGTGCATACGTGTACACAATACATGCATGCATACAATATACATATGATACGTGCATGTATGTGCAGGGGTGTGTGTGTGTGTGTGTGTGTATGTGTATATACACCTTCTCCTCTCTGACACATTATTTAAAGGGCTTAAAAGAAGATTAAGACAGCCTTACAAGGTGGAAAAGAAAAATCTCCAATTTTTCCCAACCCATTTTATGCTTATACCCTCCCCAAACCTAATGGAAAGGAATGGGCATTTACATAGTGCTTACTGATTGCCAGGTACCACACTAAATGTTTTCATAAATATTAGTTCATTTGATCCTCATAAGAACTCAGGGGCGTAGGTGCTTGCTATTATTATCTCCATTTTATAGATGAGGAAACTGAGGCAAACAGGGTGAAGTGACTTGCTCAGGATCACACAGCTAGTAAGTGTTTAAGGCTGGATTTGAACTCAAGCCTTCCTGACTCCAGCCCCAGAGCTCTACACACTGAGTTACCTAGATGCCTCTAATCATTTAATGATCTCTTGCCACAAAAGACAGACTATGACAGAGAGCACCATGGGCAGGGCCTTGTGGAATGTAGCAGGGATGGTCTTGGTTTAGACAAGCATGTGCAAATTTCTTATGGCACCTTGCCAGACCTTCCTTTAACCCCATCACATTTTATTGTGTCTCAGACTTACTTGTACATGTTATAACCTCCCCATGAGACAGTGAGGTCTTTGAGGGCTTCCTGGAGCCTACATACATCCTCACACCCCTAGCACCTAGCACACTGCCTTGCATATCACACTCAGTAAATGCTGAAGGCAAAAGGCCCAATTCTACTGTGACACTTTTATTAATTCAATAGAAAACTGAATCTTCTACCATATCTGCTATGAGTAAGAGTAAGAAAACTTAGGGCGCTCTAGCTTTAAAATCACAAATGTAATTTCTTTTAACTTTAAGACATAAACCCGTATTTACGTTGTTATTCAAGCACACAGTGACTTCTGCTTCCTCTTGAATTTTCTCTTCTGTAAGCAAGCCAGAGAGCAAGATCACTACTGGCCAATGGATGGGGAGGCACATGGCCATTCCTTGCTCTGGGCATAGAGTCTTTAATGGAGGGGAGAATTTGAAGGTGGCGAAGACTTAGAGAGAACCTACCCTCTTTTAGAAACAGCACAGAAGAGACCTGAGTGTGTTCATACACAGCAGGGAAAGAACCAGTAGACTGGGAGGAACGGACGATTAAAGACGGGGTAAAGATGATATTATCAATCAGTCTTCGAGGGCCTCCAAGGTACCAGGCAGTCTGCTAAGCGCCGGGTTATAAAAAGACAGCCAAAACCATGGTCTGTAGCTCAAGCAGCTCACATTCTAATGCAGGAGACAACATGTAAACAACTACATACATACAAGACACAGAAGTGGAGGCAATCTCAGAGGGAAGGCACGAGCAATAGGCGGGCCAAGAAAGGCCTCAGGAAGCAGGGGAAGCCAGTTGGTGGAGGTTAGGAAGGAGAGCATTCCAAACATGGCAGACTGTGGGGCAAAGTCACAGAGTCAGGAAATGAACTGGTGTGGGACGAATAGCAAGACCACTGTTGATGGATTATAAAATACAAGAAGGGCGGCGAGGTGGCACTATAGTGCGTAGAGCGCTGGGACTGGAGTCAGGAAGACTCATCTTCCTGAGTTCACATCTGACCTCAGACACTTACCTGCTCTATGACCCTGGACAAGTCACTTAATCCTGTTTGCCTCAGTTTCCTCATCTACAAAATGAGCTGGAGAAGGCAAACCACTCCAGTATCTCTGCCAAGAAAATCCTAAATGGGGTCACGAAGAGTTAGACGCAACTGAAATGAACAAACAAGACGCGTACATGAAGGGAAGTAGAAATTAAGACTAGAAAGGCAGGAAAAGGTCAAGTTGTGAAGGGCTTTAAATGCCAGAGGATTTTATATTTGGTTCTAGAGGCAAAAGGGAAACATTAGCGTTTACTGAACAGGGGATGACATGGTCAGATCTACACTTTAGGAAAATGACTTTGACCATGAGTGGAAGACGGATTGGAGGGAGGGGAGATGAAGGAAGGGAGATTGGGAGTAATCTACTGAAGAGCACAGGAGGGGACTGCTCTATTTGAAAAAGAAGATGGAACAGGTTTACATAGAAAGTCAATCCACAGAGGGTAGGGTCATAATAACTACTAAGAAAATCAGCACCATTCCTTTGAATAAAGAATGTCTCCCCTCCCCCACAAAATAAAAGAAGACCGGCAGTAGCACTGCCACCAACAGTTTAAGGACCTTCCTCAGCCTATCACGTTGGTTCAACTCAGGGCACACTTTACCCACCACTCTAACTCTTACAAAACCTGACTGTAGCCCATAATTTATATTTTTCAATGTACTTATATTATAGAATTTGTTATAAGAGATATCAGGAATCCACTTGGACAGGAATCCTCTCTTCCAATATCTTAGACAAAAGGTCATCCAGCTTTTGCAAAAAGACCTCCAGGGATGGAGAACTCTCTACCTCCTAAGGCAGTCCATTCCATTTTTAGATAGAGATCTGTTAGGAAAAAATTTCCCTTACTTGCAGCCAAAGTCTGTGTCTGTGCTGATCTTAACCTGTTGCTACCAGCTCTGTCCTCTGGGGTCAAACAGAAGATGACTTATTCCTCTTTGATATGACAGCCTTGCAAATAAAGATAATTCTTATGTGCTCCCTTAATCTTCCCTTCCCTAGGATAAGTCTCCCTAGTTCTTTTAGTTAGCTGATCAGCAAGGCATGGTACCTAGACCCTTCATCACTCTATTTGCCCTCATGGAAAACCTTCAGCTTACCCAGCTTCTTCCTAAACTGTGATGCCCGGAGCTAAACTCAATTCATTTGTGTTCTGCCTGAAGAAGAGTACAATTGAACCTCTCCGGGTTCTCGGCACGGTGCCTCCAATGATGCAATCTGAGATAACATCAGCATCTTTGGCTGCACGTGTCAACCACCATCTTCTTCCCTTTCAAAGAAGATTTCATCTTAGAATTAGGCGGAAAGGTCATATTTGAAAGCCACCTACATCTGCTACTCTCAGATCCAATGGCTACAGTGTGGAAAGACACTGTAGAGAGAATGCTGGATCTGGAATTGGAAGACAGGAGTTCAAATCAGCCACTGTCACTTCCTGCTTAGATGGCCAACCTCTCCGAGCTTCAGCTCCTTCATCTGTAACACGAAAGGGTTGAGCCAGATGGTCCCTGAGGTGTCTTCCTGTTCTAAATTTAAGATCTATGAAAACCTTTAAGTTTCATCTTCATTATTAATATCTTCTCCATCACTTTAAGTCTACGTAATCAACAAAACATCAATCAAACCCTGATTTGTAGCATTTGCGGATTTCCAAGGTGTAAACGCTCATACTGAAAACTTCACACTTGGCACTTACGGCTCAGTATAAGTCGGCTCCAGCATACCTACCTTTGCCCTGTGTTAGTATAATTCTGCCTCCAAAGGAAATGTCTTAGAATGATGGAATTCACTATTTGGAAAGGCCTTGGGAAGTCAGCTAGTCCAACCCCCTGCCACTCCCACTAATTCCCCATTACAGTGTAGGCTCCTTGAGAGTTGGGATAATTTCACTCTTGGTATCTGCATTCCCAGTACCAAGCACAGGGCCTGGCACAAAGGAGACACTTCTACAATTAATGATTGATGGATGCTGTCTTCATGCCTCTGTTCTCTAAGTCTAAATGATATGGCCCTCACGCCTATGAAAAGAAAACTGAGTCTGACTCAGCCCATCCTCATTTTAAAAAAAAAATGTTTAAAGGTGGTATTGGTGGTAAAGTGTACTACGTAAATCTCTGTAGCATTGAGCTAGCTACATGCCACAGGGCACGTCTGCCATCTTGGAATAAGAGAGCACTCTGTTTACAGGCTCATGTTGAACATCATTAGAGGCCACGTAGGAAGATAAAGAAATAATTCTTGGCGCAGTGGATAGAGCACTGGCCTTGGATTCAGGAAGACCCGAGTTCAAAGCTGGCCTCAGACACATAACATTTACTAGCTATGTGATCCTGGGCAAGTCACTTTACCTCATTGCTTGCAACAAAAAAAGGAAAAAAAAAAAGAAATAATTCTTGGCCTGAGAAACTCCCAGTTGGATCAGGACAGCTCATCTGCAGGAACCTACGACAGGCCTGGGTAAGTCCATGTAATGTGAGAAGTTGCTGGGACAGCCAGATGCATGGGAGTCCAAACAGCCTTGGGGAAAATGAAATCTAGAAGTCAGGGTTCAAACAGAGAAAGGAATGAATTCAGTGAGCGCAAGATGATCATTACTATTGAAAGCCTTGAGTGAAGCCCAGCCCTCTTAATGGAATAACAATGTGCTAAGTACAAGAGGTAAACTATCACATAAATTGTGATGTGAGTAGAAATCCAAATGGCATAGAAAAGAATGAACACAGGACTTGAAAAAGCATCAGCACAAATAGAATTATGAGAGATAGGGAACTCCCAGGGTGGAAAATTCTTCCACTAAAGCAGATCACTACCCATCTACCTATAAATTGGTACACAAACTCTAGGGAGTTGCCCAAGACAGATATTAAGTGACTTACCCAGGGATACAAACCCAGCTAGCGTGAGAATTAGAATTTGAACCCATGTCTTCATGACTTCAAGCCCAGCATGCTATCCACTAACATCGTGCTGCCTTTACTTAAATAGCATTAAAATAAATAAAGCAAGCTATGTCTCCACCATTGGAGGGCAGCGTGAAGAGTTCCTGCTAGAACCTTCATTTAAGGTGGATGCGCAGGCCAGCCATCACTTTATTTCCCATCTGGATATACTCCTCTGGACTTTTACATCACGCCGCCATGCCTGGTGCCTTCCCTCTCCCCCTTCTCAGCTTCCTCTTGTGTGCCCTCTTCCCCCATTAGAATGTGAGCTCTTTAGGGACAAGAATTGTCTTCTTTTTTCATATTCGCATGGCCACCAATTAGCACAGTGCCTGACACATAGTAGGTACTTAATAAAAAATATTGATTGACTGCATCACGTAAAAGCAATAGAAGTGGATGCAGTTAGTGGTATGGAAAGCCAGCCAGGAATAATAGGAATTTCCTGTTTAAATGAAAAAGGCCTTATCAATTTGGAAGCAGCTAAACAAATTATGGCACATGAATGTGACAGAGCCTCACTACTCTGTAAGAAATGATGGATACAGGAAATACAGAGAAGCATGGTAAGACTTACAGCAACCAATATAGAGTGAATTAAACAGAATTAGGAAAAAATATGCACAGTGATGATAGTAATGCAAATAGAAACAGCAAAAAAAAAGTTAATAACAAAACCAGTGTGATAATAATAAAGAACAAACTTGGTGTTAAAGAGATGAGAAAATGTACCTCCCTCTCTTATTTGCAGAGGTGGGGGGTATGGGTGTGGAAGCTCCTGCATCTATCTCAGTTGATACGGTTGCTGGTTGTAGTGAATTGGTTTTTCTCATTCTCATTTTTTCTTATTCTTTGTTACAGGGGATGTAACCCTTTAGGTGGGGGAAGGGAGGATACATGGGGAAATGAAGGTGATGTAAAAATAAAAGATATGATTTAAAAATGAAGAGAAATAATGGAATGGACTGGTGAAGGAAATTTCTTGAGTTCAGGAAGAAGAGAGATACTCAAGTGGAGAAGACTACCTTGAGATATGGAGGGTTTGTGCTCACTTGAAGTCTTTGATCAGAAGCTGGGGAGCTATTTGTGGGGTTTTCATAGAGAGGATTATTTTCAGGTATGTTTTGGAATAGATGGTCATCAGTGAAATTCTATCCATCTCTGGGATTCTGTTATTCTGTAATTCATCAGAGAAATCTTCATGGAGGTACAGTGAGATTCAACCAGGTGTGCTAAGATAACATTCCATTTTTAAAATACATGGAAATCTCTTGAAAGAGTATGTGTATTGAGAGGTTTATATTGTCCTTTTGGGTATATTTCACATGAGGATCAACCTCACGTTTGTGCTTTGTTATGGGGATGGCACTTTAGGTAGGGGAAAGGAGAAGGATACATGGGGAAATGAAGGTGATATAAAAACAAAAGATACGATTAAAAAGTGAAAAGAAAAAATGGAATGGAATGGTGAAGGAAATCTCTTGAGTTCAGGAAGTAGAGAGATACTCAAGTGGAGAAGACTACCTTGAGAAATGGAGGGTTTGCGCTCACTTGAAGTCTTCGAGCAGAAGCTGGTGGGTAGAGAAAGACAAACATCTGAGCCCTTAAAGGTACTCCATACAAGAAGTCACATGTGTTAGTGCCATGGATATTGACATCTTGATGCACCTGTAAATATATACTACCTTCTATACAGTCCTGATCCATAAAGTAGATGGGACAAAGGATGAAAGTGGGACCAGAGATCTCCCAGGGAGGCATGATTTACCATTCACAAAATAAATCCTACCTATTTAGAAACTCCTGGTGTCAACTTCCCTGATATCACATTTAGGCATTATTTTACATTTACCAATATTGTGTTTACTAGTACAATAATCTGTATGTAACTTAATAAAAAGCTATACCATGTCCACTGACATGTGGACACTTTCATATATCTGTTAAGATTTTCCTCACTGAACTAGACAGATCTAATCAGGAACCCTAACACAGAGGTCCCCCAGTGAGCCAATCAAGAAAGTTAACCTTGATAACAGGCTACTATCCATCACTCTGGAGACATCACGGTATAGTGGAAATAGTCAGCGTACTTAGTTCTCACCTCTAATGGTAACTTACTTGCATGACCTTGGGAATCATGTCACTTCTCTGTGCCTCAGTTTCTTCAGCTGCAAAAATGAAGGTGTTGGACTAAATGGCCTCTGAGATCCCTTTCAGCTCCAGATATGATTCTATGATACTATGCTTGACTCCACATGCCTCACTAGGACTTTAAGAAGTAAGGGAAGGAAAAAGGGGTGTGGTGGTAGTAGCTTCCATTATACTCAAGGACTGGATCTCTTCCATCCTCCTCTCTTCTCCCCAAGTCTGGTCAACTTAAAAGATCACAGGATCACGGATGCAGAGCTGGAAGGGGCCTCAGAGACCACCTATTTCAATCCCCTCATTTCACAACTGAGCAAAAAGAAGCCCAGAGGAGTTAAAGGATTTGTTAGAGGTTGCATTTTAAGTGAAAAGCCTGAACAGCTGCTCATCACCAGAAGTGAGAGTCTTCTGGTCTAGTAGGATATGACATCATCCCTGACCAAGAGAGAAAATACACACAAATACAAAGGTGCTGGATACCCACCTGTTGGCTGGATGGTCACAGTGGCAACATCCACGCTTTTCTCTTGAATTTCTTGCCATTTACTCTTCTCTCCAATCCACTCACTGACCACACATCTGTAGGTACCCTGGTCTACTGGCAGCACCCGAGACACAGACAATCGGTAAACATCCTCCCCGACGGTATCCAGACGCAAATCTCCACTCTGGTAGCGGCTTTCATACTGTGGGCCAGGATAGAACCGATTCTCATGTGTCAAGGAGAGGATTTTCTGCCTGGCGGGGCCACGGTGAAGCTCCCACGTCACAGAGAGATGTGTATGTTCTGAGGAGGCAGAAGAGGCTGAACAACGGAGTTCAAAAGAGTCCCCATCCCTCAGGCGCAGGGAGGAAGCAGGTTGGGATTTTGAGCTCACTTGCAGAGCGTCAGCAAGCACTGTTTCAACAAAACAAAATTGTTAGGAACACTCAGCATCCTATGTAAAAGTCTGAGAGCAATTCTGCAAGCACTAGGCCCTCTGGCCTTTCCTTCCTTGCTGGGAGCTCCTGGCCCAGAGCCATAGCTGCTGGGGCTCAGTCATGGCTCTAACACCGGCCAGGGTGCAGGTGACTTCCTCCTCTCCCTCTTCATCTTCCCTGAATCGAATATTCCAAACTCTGTGCCCCCAGTACCCATTTCCTCCCCGCCTACCCATGGAAAACACCCCATTGTGATGTGGGATTTTATTAGAGCATTTAAAAAATAATTCTGTTATGGTCCAGATGATAGAGGAGGAACCTGAATGGATCACAACAATTCTAGCAGTTTTCAATGATGATAATCTTAAGTTCTGGTGCCATCCTTGGGGCTTTTCAAGGAGAACTCAGAATGAAATCACAAGAGAAAGGATTAGGAAAGTCCCTGATCCTGAGCTTACCATTATATTCCCTCTTAATCTTGCCTCCAAAAGCAAAGGCGGGGGAGAGGGGGGGAGGGGTGAGAAGAACCTTCTCTAAAGTCAACCAGTGAGAATTCTCCGCTCCCCTCCACAGTCCGACATTGTCCCAGCACAGTGTAAGCTCCCTAAGCACAGAAATTCTCTGGCTTTTGTTTTTATATCCCTGTCACCTAGCAGAGTGCCAGGCACAGAGCAGGCACTTAATATGTTAGCTGACTGATCTAAGTAACCATTGAGAGAGATGCATTTAAGTACAGCAAATACTACAACTCTATCTGTTCTATTCTATTCTCTCTCTCTCTCTCTCTCTCTCTCTCTCTCTCTCTCTCTCTCTCTCTCTCTCTCTGTATATAGATATATATATATATATGAAAGCTCTTATTTGGGGGATGGGAAGGATGGTTCATGAAGGAAGGGGTCTAGATTGCTTCTAGATTCTCTTCCAAAAACATAATTCTAACACAAAAACTGTTCCGATTAGACAACGAGACACCTGGTGATGTTTTTTGGGGGAACATAAATTATTTTAACTTATTTGTAAGGCCTTCTTATGGGATTTTCCATGTAGGTGGGAGGAGTACATGAGGAACAGGAGAGGTGGAAGCATGCAATGGTTTCTTCTCTTTGAGCCATTCATGTTACCCAGTCCGCTTGCTTGCATCCAATTTGAAACCTAGGCATCCATGGAGATGGGTGTCTTTTTCTTGCAAGTCTACCTCTTCCAATGAACTGAAACACATGTCTTCTAAGGCTTCCTCTCCATTCAGGGAGCCCTTCCCATCCCCCTTTAATTCTAGTGCTTTTGACTCATTATCTCCAATTTCTCCTCTACGCAGCCTGTTTGTACATTGCTGTTTCTCCTTCACCAGATGTGAGGCCTTTCTTATTATCCCTAGCATTTAGTACAGTGTCTAGCACATAGTATGCAATTAATAAACGTTTACTGACTGACTGGCTATGCTGCTATCCCTTTATCTTTTCATTATTATAATTATTTGACAGGCAACTAGGTGGTACAGTGGCTAGAACACGGCCTGAAGTCAAGAAGATCTGAGTTCAAATCTGGCCTCAGATACTTAGTAGCTGTGTGACCTTGAGCAAGTCACTTGATTTCTGCTTACCTCAGTTTCCTTGGCTGTAAAATTCGGATAATAAGAACACCTGCTTCACAGGGTTGTTGTGAGACTCCAATGAGATCCTATTCACAAAGTGCTTAGCACAGGGCCTCCCACATAGTCAATGCTTTGCTGTTCTGTCATTTTTCACTTCGTGACCCCTTTGGGGTTTTCCTGGCACAGATACCGGAGTGGTTTGCCATATCCTTGTCCAGCTCATTCTACAGATGAGGAAACTGAGGCAAAGAGGGTGAAGTGACTTGCCCAGGGTCACATAGCTAATACGAGTCTGAAGCTAGATTTGAACTCAGGTTTTCCTGACTCCAGATCCAGCGCTTACCATAAATGCTACATTTTTATTTGACATGTCTAAGGTCTGCTTACTAGGGCAGTATCATTTGACGGGTACAGAATTCTTTCAGGGTCTGTATGGCCTTTCACATCCACAGCCAAGTCAAATTTAGCTGCTTTGGGCCATAAGATCCTAAGTGGCAGGTTCCCATTATTCTGTCTTCACATTATTCTTTCAGCACAATACAGCCTCAGGAAGAGATGAGATGCCCAAAAGTGATGCCCGAGAAAGAAATAAGCCCTGCACCATCTGTGCACATGTTTTCACATGCCTCCTCCTCACATCATCTAGCCAGAGGTTTTCTTGCTCTTCCCCGTCTCCCCCATACGTAATTTCCATTTGCTGTCCCTGTGACTTGGCCCAGGCTATCCCCAGCCCTGGAGTGCACTCCTTCCACGATCTCCTTTCAAGGCATTGCTCAATCACCCCCTTAAACAGGAGGCCCTTCCTGATCCCCTTAGGGTCAGTGCTCTCTCGATCCAAACCCCAAAATTATTTTGCGTATACTTTTGTCTCTCTCTCTCTCTCTGTTTCTCCTCTCTCCCTCTCTTCCCCCAATTCATCCCAGCAGAATATAAGCTCCTTGTCGGCAGGGTCTGTTGCCTTTTTTTTTTTTTGGTCTTTGTATCCTTTTGCACAATACCTGGAACACAGTAGCCACTTAATAAATGCTTGCTGAAATAATCTGAACTGTTCACTCCATGAGCAGCTAAATGGGACAGTGCATAGAGTGCTGGGCTTGGAGGTAGAAAGAATCATCTTCCTGAGTTCAAATCTGGTCTCAGACAGCTGTGTGACTCTGGGCAAGTCACTTCACCTTGTTTACCTCAGTTTCCTCATCTGTAAATTAAGCTGTGGAAGGAAATGGCAAACCCACTCCAGTATCTTTGCCAAGAAAACCCCAAATGGGGTTATGAAGAGTTGGACACAACTGAACAACAGCATTCACTCCACAATAATAATAATAATAACAATGATAATTAACAATAACAAAAATAAAAATAGCTAACTTTTATATAATAATCAGTACGTACCAGACACTGTGCTAAGTGCTTTTATCCTCACAATAACCCTGAAAGGTAGGTGCAATTATTATCCCCATTTTCCAGATGAGAAAACGAGGCAAACATCGGTTAAGTGACTTGCTCAGGGTCACACAACTATCAAGTGTCTGAGGCTAGATTTGAACTCAGGTCTTCCTAACTCCAGCCCAGAGCTCTATCATAAACCTACTTCAGTGGTCATAGAGTGGTTAGATGATGTGTCATCACAGATAACAGAACTAGAAGAGACCTCAAGGAATCATCTGAGCCTGGCCATCATGCCCCTTTACGGGCCATGTACAGAACGGACTCTCTAGACTACCTTTGGTAGCTCTGAGATCTAGGGTCCAGGTGGGATGTGGACTCCGCCCTTACTGACTGCAACCCCAGTACTTTCTCCAGGGCATCACACGACCCCTACAAAATCTTCTGACTCCCTTTTCAAAGATGAGGGAGCTAGCCCTGAAGCTGCCGTAGCTGGTAAAGGCAGCGGAGTTTGAGGCGACAAGAAGCTAAGACTCCCAGTGGGAGCCTCGAAAGGACGTACCTCGCACTCGCACTGTGTCATCATAGTTGCCCTGGACGGTGGCGTCCGTGCTGGGGGTGGAACATTTGTACTGGCCTTGGTCGGCGGCCTGGAGGTTCTGAATGTGGAGCTCTACGGCGTCATTGCTGATCCGTCTCAGCTGGATCTCCCCTCTCTGCAGCCGCTCCCTGTACGGCTGGGCCGTGAAACCTGCCTCCCAGGTGCTCACTATCTCCACAAAACGTGTCCCCGAAGATGAGAAGCTCCAATCAAAGTTCTGCTCGCTGGGGCCATCGTAGTCACTGACATTGCAGGGGATGACCAGCTCCATACCCTCCACTCGGACAAGGTCCCCAGTGGGGATCTTCACGATGCGCCCCTGGCAAACAGCTGCAACGAGAGGGAAGGAAAGATGGACCTTCAGTCACTGAGGCACCCCAGGGATCAAGAAGATGAGCTTTTGGAGGATCTCGTGCCTCCACACCACAGAAGGACCTGCCAGGACCCTGAATCCCAGAGCCTTTGGAATAGGGATGCTTTCTGCCCAGGGCCTGGAGCCATCCCACCACGAAGATGTGGCCTGGCAACTACGCCTGAAGGTGTTACCGTGAAAACTACTAAAGACCCAGAAAAGGAAATTCTTGCTATCAATGACTCAACATCAAAAACCAATATGATTTTTACCAATGGAAATGAATTTAAGAAGAGGCCTGCCCATCTGCTTTGCTTCTGCACCCTAAGGACCATGAGACCTTTCCATCTGATTTGTAACTGAAACGTTCTACATGGGTTGCCCTCCCCATTACAATAGGGGCCCCTTGAGTGCAGAGGCTGTCTTACTTTTCTCTTTGTAACCTCAGTGGTAAGCCCAGTACTTTTTTTACATTTCGGTCATTTTTAGTTGTGTCTAACTCTTGGTGACCCCATTTGGGGATTTCTCGGCAAAGATGCTGGAAGAGTTAGCCATTTCCTTCTCCAGCTCATTTTACAGATGAGGAACTGAGGCAAACAAAGTTAAAGAACTTGCCACATAGCTACTAAGTGTCTGAGTTCAGATTTAAACTCAGGTCTTCCTGACTCCACCTTCTATCCACTAAGCCACCTAGTAAGCACTTAATGAATGCTTTTTCACTCATTCATTCTTTCATTCATTCATTCATTCGCAAGATAAAAACTACCACAAGCTGTATCATAAGGAAGAAATGTTTTCAAGAATCATTTCATCAAGATTTAAGAACTGCACCAAGTAATGTCCATTCCAATTAGTGAATTCCACATGCTTAGTCTGCTAAGATTGACAAAGAAAGGATCTTTGTTTTTCCTTCCAGTTTCTCATTTATTCTCTAATACACCGTCATTCTTTTAAACTTCACCCAAAAGGGAGGGATTCAGTTCATCAATTATTTATCCCTCTTTGTCCCACCCCTCTTCACCTATTTTCTCTTCCAGAGCACTTTTCTGGGGCTAATCAAGAAATGATTTTCTTTGACTCATGACAGTTTTTAACTTGAGAGCTATATCTAATAATAAAATTATTAAGCAATGGTTCCCTGGCATGTTTTATAGTTAGTGTCAAAAAATGTGATGATCCTACGGTGTTTTAATTGTCCCTTCTGACTCCCTAATCTAGAACTAATGATAAAAGGCAAGCAACTCATAAGGATGCCTCTAATTCCCAATTCTAACCATTCATTTCTGCTGGGAAATCTTTTGAAGTCCTCGACAATAATGGGTTAGGTGGGGCGCTGGGCAGGGAGGCAAGGCAAGGCCAGGGAAAGTGCGGCAAAGCGTGTAACTGTTTTGTTACTATTACCACCTCCTCTGTATATGTTCCTTCGCACACAGTTGAAGCGAGCAGTCACTAGATAGAAAAAATCTGAAATTCCCTTGGTATCAATAACCTTCAGGAACAGCTGATACAGCAAACTTAGGCACATGGGGTTTCTGGATACCTTCTGCATAAATTAGAGGCTGTACCTGGCCCAGCACCAGAGATGGTTACAGGACTGGGAGTTTCCTCAGTCTGGTGTTCCACACTGGCTTTTATCATCTGAACTACCATAATTCTCACACAAATTAGATTTAATCTCCAAATGTATATACAAAGATATGTCCCTTTCAACTAAATATCAATGATTTTGGGAATAATCATGCCAGTGAGGCAGCAAGTAGGCTTGATTTGAACTCAGATCCTGCCTGAGATACTCATTAGCTGTGTGACCCTGGGCAAGTCACGTAATTTCTCTTTGTGCGTCTATTCACTCATCTGTAAAATGAGGAGGTTGGACTCAATGACCTTTAAGATCCCTTCCAGCTTAAAATCTATGATCTTGTGATCACTGGTACAGAGAATTACGAAAGGTCAGTAGGCTGCCTGCTGTCTCTATTTCCTCTACCTCTGGAATGCATAATCAGGTTAATTAACTACACCCAACCTTGTCCCTGAATACTAGGTGGCACAATAGTGGATAGAGTATAAGGCCTGGAATCAGGAAGATTCATCTTCCTGAGTTCAAATCTGCCCTCGGACACATTAGCTGTGTGACCCTGGGCAAGTCACTTAACCCTGTATGTCTCACCTGTAAAACGAGCTGGAGAAGGAAATGGCAAACTACTTCACTATCTTTGCAAGGAAAACGCCAAACGAGGTCATGAAGAGTCAGACACAGCTGAAAGTGTTGAACAATAACAATAAACCTTGTCCTTGAGAGGGAAAAGTATCAGGCATCTTGTTCCAAGGCACAGAGCTACTGATGTAATAGAAATCTCAATATTCAGCCTCAGCAGACAAGGGAAATCATTGGAAGTCAAGGAATACTAAATCATTTATCTGCCTTCCTTAACCCTCTTCTTAAGAAATATATTTTTGTTTCTGCTATCATTCAGTATATAGAATATATGGTACTTGCACAAGTTCCTTGTGATCATTTTTAATCATCGTTCTAGTTCTACTATCCCATTAAGCCTCTCCATACAAGCAGCAAGCTTATTTTCCCTTTCTAAATCATTTGAGATATGTACCAGCAATTATGTCACAGCCTATCCAGAAAAAAAAGTCCAGCTTAGACTTCACTTAGAATTATGACTAAATTTCTTTTTTTAAATTTTATTAATTTCTTTTGATTTATCAACAATCACTTCCATATGCTTTTGAGTTCAAAATTTTTCTCCCCCTTCCTCCCACCACCCTCCCCAAGATAGCACACAATCTGATATAGGCTATACATTTACATTCCTATTAAACATATTTTCACATTAGCGGAATTGTAAGTAAAAATTAAAACCAACAGGAGGAACCATCAGAAAGAGGAAACAAAACTCGACAGAAGAGAAAAAAAAATGACAGCGATTCAACTTCCATAGTTCTTTCTTTGGATGTGGATAGCATTTTCCATCACAAGGCCTCTGGAAATGTCTTAGATCCTTGTATCGCTGAGAAGGGTTAAGTTTATTAGTGTTAGTCATTGCACAACATGGCTGTTATTGTGTACAACGTTCTCCTGGTTCTGCTCACTTCACTCAGCATCAGACCATACAAGTCTTTCCAGGTTTCTCTGAAGTCAGCCTGTTCATCATTTCTTATAGCACAATAGTATTCCATTACATTCATATATCACAACTTGCTCAGCCATTCCCCAGTTGATGGGCATCCTCTCAATTTCCAATTCTTTGCCACCACAAAAAGAGCTGCTATATTTTTGTACATGTGGGTCCTTTTCCCATTTGTATGATCTCTTTGGGATGCAGTGCTAGAAGTGCTATTGCTGGGTCATTTCTATAGCCCTTTGGGCATAGTTCCAAATTATTCTCCAAAATGGTTAGATCATTTCACAACTCCACCAACAATGCATTAGGGTTCCAATTTTCCCACATCTTCTCCAACATTTATCATTTTACTGTTTTGTCATGTTGGCCAATCTGACTAAATTTCTTACCAAAAGACTGACTTTGTTTCTATTGCGCAAGAGGAACCATGGGAGAACAGGGAGATGACTAAAAGAAAACCTCAGACCTTGAGAGGCTTTACAAATATCCATGGTAGAAGAGATAAGATGTGCGAAAACAATGAGATGTAGAATACAGTAACCACTAAAAAGCCTTGGTTCTCTAACGCTAAGGAATTGAGGAGGCGAAGTGGTCAAAGACAGACTGAAACTTGCCTAGCTAGCAGCAGATCCAGAGCTAGTAATCCTCCTAACTCTTCATCTAGACCTCTTTCTTCTACGGCAGAGAGACGGGCTGGAAAGGAAGACAGCACTGTGGCAGAAGTTAGGGATCCTAGCCCTGCTCACTTAGCTGTGTGATCTGGACAAATCATTCCGCCTCTCTAGGCTGTAATCTTCTTATTTGTAAAATGAAGATGTAGAACTGAATTATCTCTAAGATTCTATGATTTTTTTTTAAAATTTACAGTACATAGGGGCTATCACCACCTTATTGCTGGAAGTTATGCCCCTCTCCTTGCAGACCAAGATTATATCAGCCTTTTTAGTTGCCCCATCATGTTGAGTTTATAGTCCATCAAAATCACCAAGTTGTTTTTCCCCTCAAAAAACTGATAACTATGCCTCCTCTATCCTGTATTTCAAAGTTGATTTTTTGAATCCAAGTATAAATCTATGCATTTATCTTTACTGATTTTCACCTGATTAGACTCAGCCTAGCATTCTAGATTATGATCCAAGATCCTTTCTGGATCCTAATGCAAGTAATTAAGTGCATTAGTTATCCCTGCAGGGGGGCCCCCCCACCCCACCCCTTCACTGTCATCTACATATCTGATAAGTATGTCACCTATGTCTTTATGCAAGGCAGAGAGGCCTGTGGCTAGAGATGGACGAAGGAAGGCTTCAAGGAGCCTTTGAGCTGAAACACAAAGAACAGAAGGATTTCAACAGGCAAAGATGGGGGAGAGAAGGGAATTCCAGCCAGAGAGAACCGTATAAGCAAAAGCATAGATGTAGAAAAGCATGGGTTATGTTCTTAAAGTAATACAGTTTGGCTAAAGGATAATGCATAGGAAATGAAGGGGAGATAAGACTGAAAAGGAAAGTTAGAAACAGATCAACTAAGCCTTTGAATGCCAGGCAACTGAGTCTGAACTTAATTCTGCAGGCAATGGAGAACCCCTGAAGATTCTGACATATGAGAATAAGCAGAACAGAAATGTGCTTTAAAAAGATTAATCTGACAGCACTATACAGAAGTGATAAGGAAGAGGAGAGACTAGAATGAAGAAAAACTGTACTGCAATGATTATTTAAAAAATAAAATAGAGAGGGCTTGAACTCGGATGAGAAAAATGGTAATGGTTAAGGGAAATATTACACCAGAGGCATTTTTGAAATAGTCTCAATGTACTTTAGCAAGTGATTAGATTTGAGGGTCAA